AAAAAAAATTGTATCCATCTCCTGACTTGTGCCTGTCCACAACTTAATCCTAGAGATCTTTTGATAGTGCCTTGGCACCCTTAGTTGATTTTTGCTTCAGTTGCACCACCAAGGACTGAGATGCTCCAAGAAAGCTCTTTTCATGCTGAGCCAATCAAAGTGACCACAGCTGATCACAGTTGAAAGTCAGATGGCTTTGTGTGCTATTGAGAAGGTGATTAGCTAAACCTTTTCTATACCCACTGTTTTCACACATGATCACTGGGTGTAGGTCATCAGTAAACGAGTGTGGCATTTAAATGGCAGTGTTCCCCAAATGAAACAAAAGAGCTGTTAGTGTTGAATGATTTGTGTAATGTAGAGAACTGTTTAGAGTTTAGCAAAATGTTTGTTTTACAATAGCAAACTGAGTTTAAAGCACTTAATGTGCTTGCAGTTTTGCAGACTTAGGTATATGAGTGAATGGTTTCACTAAGTGGGCCTAAAGTACCACTTTTAGTGTCTAAGCAATTAAAGAAATAAAAAAAACTTTTAACAGCTCGTATCTATCAAACATGGTGAAATATAATATATGGCAATTTCATGTTTGACCTCCCCTGTGAGATGCCCCTAATCAGAGTAATCTTCTCACTGAAAAATGAATATCCTGTCATGTCATGCCGTACATTTTTATAAACCCCATTTACTCTGAATTCCTGTTTGTGTGTTTATAGACTCTGCTTAGTTCAGGAGTTCTCAGTAATGGAGGAAGAGGATGAATGTCCAGAGTTAGTTCCCATTAAGGAGAAGTCAACTGGACCCACAGCTCAGATACCTGTTACCATCATCACTGGATACTTGGGTCAGCATAGAAAAAAGCATACCAAAACAAAACTATTTTTTATTTTTTTTGCTTAATGCAAATATGTGTTATTGTATACTTAAAATGAATAGCTTTTTTCCCCAGTAGCTTAACTTTATTTCTCTCTTTTCCAAATACAGGTGCTGGAAAGACAACACTTTTGAACTACATATTAACAGAGCAACATAATAAACGAATAGCTGTCATTCTTAATGAATTTGGTGAAGGTAAGTTAGAAAATGAGCAAACAAATAAGCAATCAAAAGACCCCTAGTCTAGTTCTTATGCCTTGATGCTTTTATGTGTCCTGAGTGCTGACAGTCTCAGGATATCTTACTGTTATGACCAGGAGAGGGCAGCAAAGCATTCCCTATTTCCTTAATTAGTGCAGTAGAGTAGTAGGACCTTATTGCTTGTGGAAGACCCACATTTTTATTGTGATTTGGTCTTTTTAACATGGTTATCTTTTTTGATGTTTTATAATTATACCATTAACATTTTGCCATATTTTTTTGTCATTTGGACCATATTCATGAACATTTTGATCAAAAGTGCAGAGATTATAAATGACCTAACTGGAGACTGCAATATTGGGCTGCTACTGAGAGGTTGAGCCTGTGCTGTGCTGTCCTGTCCCGCAGGCAGTGCTCTGGAGAAGTCTTTAGCTGTCAGTCAGGCAGGAGAGCTGTATGAGGAGTGGCTGGAGCTGAGGAACGGCTGCCTGTGCTGCTCTGTGAAGTAAGGTTGTTCAGACTACTACTAAATACTAGGACAAAATAGGGCTGGGCGGCAGGCACGGCGCCAGCATTTTTTCTCTACCGGTGCTAAGGGGGG